CTCCAGGATCTGGTGGGCCGCGGCGTCGGCTTGCTGGGCCGGCGCTTGAAACAGTGGCGCGTCTAGGAGCCGGGGTGGACTAGAGTCGAGGAATGCAGAAAAATTCTGTTGTAGCGGGTCCCAAGGATTTGTGCATTTGTGGAAATTGTGACAGACGTCGACAGGGCTGGTGCCGTCAGACGAACGGCAGCAAGTGATGACACGTCGCCGAGATAACCGAACGCGTTCAATCAAGGTTGTTGCGAATGACGGCGCAGTAATCACGCCGCGTTCAACTCCGAAACTTCGCAAGCTTTGGAAGATTTGTGGAAAGCGGGCGACAGATGCCCAGCGATTGGTTCGAAATTGGGTCCTGGAGGTCAGATTCACCCAGTCTTATCCTTCAAGGGACGGGCCAGAAAGTCAGATGGAGGATTTATTTGCCACAGGGGAAGGAGTCAAGCTTGAAGGGGTAAGTACTATGGAGCAACTAGGATATCATTACATACACATGTTCATGATTCAATTAATCCCAGCTTCGTCAGCCTCTACCCTCCGTCACCCCCAACTAAACCACATTAAGGGTGACGTTGACTGTCTCTATGCTCGGCGTATTAATCGACTGCAACAAAACTAATGGTTAGTTCAAGAATCACGGCAGCAGAGCAATAAAGAACGCACCCCACGCAGGGTGAAGTGCGCAACATTGAGGCTCATGAGGCCCGTTGACGCGGTCTCGGGGATAGTAACGGTGAAGTCCTGCAGGAATACGCCGTTCTGTTGCTGCGGGTTGAAGGGCCCGTTGTAGAGAATGTTCCCGCCAATCGCGGGCGCTAGGTTGGGAGCGCCAAGTCCGATGGCGAGGGCGACTTCCTCTAAGTTCTCTATGAAGATCTACATGGGATGTAAGCCCACCGCCGTGGACTCGCGAGCCGGTGATAAGCGCGACCGACATACATGCTGGATGACCTCCACGATGATGCTGGAGCCCGCCTGGACGGTGGTGCCATCAGCAGGGGCTTGAATTGAGATGGTCTGCGCAAACGCAGTCGTCGCAAGTGCGGCGCTCAAAGCGAAGGAGGCGAAGAACTTCATGTGGGTGGATGGGGCCTCAGTGGGAAGGAATGGAAGACTGTTTTGGAGCTACCTGCCTGCCATTTCTTTTATAGCTGGTCATACCGGAGCACAATGCCCGTGGATAGGAATCTGATAAACTCCGATTGTTGTGGAGCTCGAGAATAGAACGCGTTTGTACCGATGACGAACAGTCAGTCAGCCATCCTCGGATCCGAAGCTCTCGGACACGTCAAACTCGGCTCCTGTGCATGTGCATTAGATGTTATTATTTCACTGCTGTGAGCTAGTGAACCTTAGTCAATGGTGTCTGTTGCGCGAAAAGTAATCAGACTCCTACATTAGATGTACATGCGAACCCGCTGCAGCACAGGTAAGAGCGCAATGAGGAAAGGGCAGCCGTACCCCAAGACATGTTCATTGGTATGTACGGGACAACACCTCCGGCGTTAATTTTCTTGAATACAGCGAATGCGCTTGCTCGTCACTCTACATGTTGCAGGATATGTGAACTGTAACATGCCATAATAAGACAAGGAAGAAGAAGAAAAAGCACAACTTACGACAACGTCAGACATATCACCTCCCCATACGCCGGGGTTCCGCGGGGACTCGAGCGAATGCTAGGGTTAGGAACACCCCGTAGCCGCGTGCGCAGGAAGCGTTGTCGGCTTGACATTCAAGTTTACTCCAAAGTAGAGCTCCGATTCGTCCGTTTAACGGAACGGCAGTCAAAAAAAGGGCCGTTTTCTGGCCACGGACGGGCCTACTTGTCCGTCGACGGCGATTCTGAGTGGCCAACGGACGAGTCCCGTCCATCGAACCGTTACAGCCGTTTCGATGGGTGATTAATTTCTTTTTTGGGACTCCGGCTGCTTAGGGAGAAAACACCTCGCTAGGAGTCGGTACGGCAGTCCTATGGATTACTGTCATAGCACTGCATAGTTTTGTAGGTAGGTTATTTTTTTATTGATGCATGGCAGTAATATGATGAAATTACCATGCCGTGCCTGAATCGAGCCATGGTCAGGGTTGTTGTGGCTAAAATACACTCGGACCGCCTAGAACTTAAGATCAGCTGGTTCTATTTCATGTCGACCGCATAACTCGGGCCGCCTATTCAAACACCGCGATGCTGCTCCCGCGGTCCAGGCCTCTACGCGCATCTCGAGGAACTCGACATTATTCGTATTCGTCACCTGTCTGGATCTCATCTCACGGCATCTTGGTTCTTCTCCTGCTTCCCTTCTAGCTCTCTCTTGTCTCTCCTCACTTACAGTACTTACGCCGCGCACAAGGCGGCAACTGCGCGATAATCTCACCATAGCTAGTCAAGTTCACCGCCTGCCGCTCAAGAAAGTCGCGTCGACCACGGAACTCGGGCCGCATATTCAAGCATCGCAATGTCGATACCGCAGCGCGGGCTTCCGCGCTATTCGCTCTCGATGGATTATCAACTTTCGGCGACGGCTTCGCAAAACTAGACTACCAGTGCTGCAGAGGCGTTGATCATTGGAACTCAGCTCTCTATGATGGGTACGAGTCGTTCTGGCCTGTGAGACTGCGTAGATCACGCATTCTACCCTAGGACCTCGTCTAATATTACGCCCTCGCCGAGCTAATCTTTCTGAAACGCCGAGGGGGAAATGGTGTTGCGTCCTTGCGAATTAATGTCGTTTGTCCCTCGCGTGTCCCAACTCCGTTGTATCTTCATCTCGATCTTCGGCGCTGAATCCCCGCGAGCGTTTGCAATGGAGCCAACCCAAAGGCGAGTCTGATAACCCTATTTGAATGAGGTTGATCTACAATGGGATACCGTCAGATACGGAAAGCATGAATCATGCGATGACAATCACAGTCTATGAGTTCCGATCCGTCTGCAAACCTCAGCGCCCAGCCAGACTGCGGTTTGCGGTACGCACCCAAGTAATTCCGTAAGGTTTCCCGAGGGCGGTGTTCTGTATTGTCTTCTCACTTGCCGAAATTGAAAACGGTTTAAAGCTGTCAACTTGTGGCGGGAGGTACAAGATCCGTGCTTTTGCTCTTGGCTCTTGGCAAGTCTCCATATAAAACCCCCACGCAGCCGCTGGGAGTCCTCTCCCCCAGAGTCCAGACAAAGATGTTGAAACTCTTCTCCCTTTCCTCTCTGCTCCTCACGTCACTTGCCATCGGCGTAGCCCTGTCCAGTGCGTTGATCCATTGGGACCGTGTCACGGCTGTACGGACTCGCGCGTTGACTGATTGATCAGCCCCACTCGACGCACTCGCGTCCGACGCCGGGTGTGTCCTGTGCACGCAGGCGTTGCCGCAGTGCCACTGCGCAGCAACCCAACAGTGCATCATCATCCCCCAGTACGCGTTCGCGCTCTTCGTTGTTGCTTACCAGGTGACTCATTTATTTCATACGCAGGACGTGCCGGGAGTGCTCGTACGCGATCTGCCAGGAGTGTTCGAACACGACCTGCGTAGGGACGTCGAGCTAGACAGCAGTGGGGAGGACGGAATCAGGCCGATGTTGTGCCATTGAGATTGAACAAAAAACCTATCCTCGAATCCTCGTTCTGTAGAGTTCTTAACTTTTTCCGGCAACGCAACCCGTGACGCCGGGAACAAGATAACGGAAGCTAACAACTTGATGAAGCCGAGTATGTCCATATGGGGACGTTAACGTTCGAGATTTTGAGATGAGAGCGAGAAGAAAGACGGAAGAGGGAAACAGAACGCTGCCGAGGTCTCGAGACCACGGCACTTGGGCGAACCTGAACAAGACGACCTCTGGCGATGGATAAAGAAGACCCGGGTGGTAACGAGAATGATAAGAGACAAGACTGCGAGGTCCAGCAGCGAGGACGTGTGCGGAGGTATTTCCCTATCTTGTGCGTGGCAAGGGGTACCCACAAAAAAAATCTCCTACACCCACTCCTAAAAGTGACTTAAGGGTCGCTGGACCCTCCCTACCCTATTAGCCGAGTTATGTGAGCCCCAAATGTAATCTTCCGAGGCAGATTGTTGAAAATCCGAATTTTGAGCCGCAATCAAGCACCCATTCGTGAGTGATCCGCACACCAATGGTGGCCACACGAACCATTGGCAAGCTGTTCCGGACATTTCGGACTTTGTTGCAGACACTCAGACAGGTAGCAAAAAACTCAATTTTTTTCTGACCCTTCTAAATATATTTTCAGAGTGTTCTAAACAAGTTCCAAAAAGTGAATTAAGAGGTTGCCGACCCACCCTACCCTATAACCCGGTGTCTCGGCATCTTCCGGCGGGCACCCCTTGGTGCGTGGTTACCGTTGCACCAAGGGTCCATTCTGTACAGACCTCAGCTGAGGACCATAAGCGCAATTTGATGTAGCGCATGAATGAAATAAAAAAACAAAAGGTAAATGGTCTGACCAAGAGGGTCCAATGATAAGAAATTTCCATATATGGTAGGGGGGGGGGGGGGGGAGGACCCCTCCGACCGCGAAAAAAAAATATTATACCCTTTTACGCAACTCCATTTTAGAGGTCTGCGGATGCTGTGGAAACACGAAAACTTCGCCCAAGTCAACCTAAAGCTCATTTTGGGCGTCTCTGGTCAATCTCTGATGTGTGGCGATATTTGTCTGTAGTGCGGGAAGCATCACAGCCTCGGATCACACGGAATGAGGCTCAACCTTCCCCGAATGCGAACAAATCACCAGCAAATGGTGTGTCGGAAGCGAGCACAGGGGGAAGGGTTGGGTGTGTGCTGCCTGTGGAGGGGGGAAACGGTGGTATACGGGGCCAGCGTAGGTTACTTCCAAGGTTTCTGTGGGGTGGCATCCGGAAAAGGGAATTGATGGCACGTGTTGCTTACAAATCGCTTACGTAGGAGGGGGGGAGTAGGCCCGACCCTCTGAAAAAAAAAACCCGACCTTGACCCGACCTACTGTATATATTTTGGGTTTTCAAACCCTCTTGGGTCTGACCTTGAATTGAACAAGGGTCTCCCGCTGAACTAGGCAATGTCAACTTCATCTAATGACAGCAGGTGTGTCACCATTACACCACCAGTCCATTCCTTTCTGTTTCCCAAATGTTGATAGCCAAGGGCACGAGCGGGTCTCAATCAAAAAGTTGTCCCACGGAAGCTACAGCTTATAGCCCCACAATTGACGACATCATTTTCCTGTGTCCACCAACTAATGCAGCTCAGCAATTGACGCCCCACCTCCTGATGCTCATGGCATCCGAGCCAGCGCTCCTTGCGCCGCCCGACCTCACCTCGCTCGCTGTGCGCAACCCTGCGCCCGCCGCCGCGCACTTCCGCACGCTCACCGTGACGCCACCCACGGCTTCCTCGCATGTGTCGTACCTGTCTGCACTCGCGGGCTCCCGCCCATAATCCCCACGTTCGATGTCCTCGGCCGCCTCCTACGTGAATCCAACTCTGCTATTGCCGCGCTTTTGCGCACGGAGGTAGGCCGCCCGTTCATCAATGCCGCTGTGATCAAAGATCCCAATTTCCGAGGGAGTCTCCCACAACAGATGCCGACCTTCGATTTGTTGAGGTGCTATGTCGAGAATCGCGGGCGCTTTAGATTCATTAGGCAGCCGCGCATCTCAAGCTTCCACCTAACCTAAGGACCGACAAATTGTTGACCTCTCCCTATTTACGACCCGAGATGCTCGGAATTCGGACGGGGTTGGCCTCTTCACTCGGTCCTATCCGGAACTAAAAGAAAGTTGGTCGCGGGGCCTGTGCGGATCGGCCTAAGAGTCGCAGCCATCTTGGCATATCCACTATTCACTCCTGCACCTCGGCTGACGGACGATATTAGTGACATGCTCGCCGCGCTGAAATTAACTGGCTGGATAGTCAGGCTAATTTCCAGGTAGTATTGATGACCTGGTAACGTTCGGAACGCAGCAGCGCCCAATGGATGGTATATTTCAAAGTCTGTTACTGCAGACAGCGCCCGTCCGACTCGGGGTCAGGTCACTGAAGAAGGAACAGGGAATTCTTCTTACCTACTTCGTTTGTGGTTCCAAGGTCTTAACTGTTTGAGAACGAGCCTACCTTTGATTTTATGATGCAGTGCAACTTGGAATGCGATAAATTCACGATCCACTCTACCGGTATGGTTTCTTCTCAGATTAACTTGTGCTGCTGATTGAGGCTCCAATACAAGCAGTTATAACGGGTGTAGCGCATGGAATACGTCGCCGATATCCACCCAGACAATCCCGTTCGAGCCGGGTGTAGGTCCCGCTATCAGGAGGTCAATGTTTTTTTCTTTCTCTACGAAGGTAGTCTTACCTGTACGTAGATAAGGTTGAAGTTGACGCCCGTTGGACGTCTCGAATTACAGTTGAACCGTTCACGTTCAAGTAAGCCCCAGGAGATCTGAGGCGGATATAGGTGGTCGCCTCCGACTTTCTCTGCTCTCCTCTAAAACTCACGGCTTATGCATTCAGGACGTAGCCAATACATTGTCTTTAGGATCGACGCACATCTTACTTACTGTACGCAGAAAATAGGTCCCGACGTGCGCAAATTTCATGCCCACTCTGTGGTATTCGGCGCGATTCCGAGGCACCAGGAAACATCTGTCCGACAACCTTCAATGGACGAAATCGTTCGCTTGGACCTAGTTTCAGGTAATGGAATAAGCCCAGTTATCTCCCGACCTTCAAGCAGTGAACGCGGAGGGGCTCGATGGGTGTGAACACAGAATGGCGCCGAAAGAGGTCAAAATAGACCAGCATAGGAAAGATGGAAACGCACCGAAGATGTCGCCGTAAGGCAGCACGGCCAGAGAAGTGTTTCGTATACGGACGAGGAATGAGAAAGGCGAGGACGAGGAAATTAGGGCCCGACATCTGCGTGAGCTGATTGAGTGGCTGTAAAACCGCGATCTATGTTGGGCATTGGGTTAGAAGACACTGTCGCTCGATAGGTCCATGAGCAGACACCGCTTTCGCCCGAGTTCCTTTTCGAATGGAAATCGACTTGCGAGTTTGGAGGGAGAGCGGAGCAAGATGAAATGTGGCGTGGATTCGAGTTGCAAGAGACTCAGAGTATCGCGTACCGGAAATCAAGGATAGAGCTCCGGGGTTTGGAACATAGCCGTGCGCCCAGAGCAAGATCTTGTCGCGGGAAGCCGGTGCAAATTCCCAAGACCACAGGTCCCCGAGTGCCGCGCCTTCGCTAGGATGGAACTGGAGGGATTTCGGCATGAAGCATAAAGAGCAGCGACAATGATGGATCCGGCGGCTGGAAGAGTGAGCCCAGATGCAGAGAGGGGAACCACAGCTGAAGTGAGGAGAACTTCAAGGCTGTATTAGTTCAACGACCGAGAAACGCTGTTGAAGGTCGGCGTGAAAAGAGAGTTGGAGCTCGGGCCGCAATGGCCGATCCTTCGGGGCCGAAGCACGTGGGTGGGCGCCTTTCTCTTCTCGACGAGACAAGTTTAGACCCGTGCCTTCGGCGCGGCGTGTTTGCAGCTTAATCTCAGTTGTTGGCTTTTTTTTAAAAAAAAGAAAAAGTAATATAAGTGTGTACTGACTATTGTATCTACATGAATTACCTGTAACACAAATTAGTTCAATGGATCCCTCTTACAAAGGGAGGAGGACATACATATGGGGCAGCACCTCTGGGTATACAATATTTTTTGTGAGTTTGTTGTTGTCATTCTTAAAAAGAGCCTTGACTCACTGACTGGAAGTGCATTGAGGGGGTGCGGCGTATAGCTGTCCATGGGCAAAGACATTGGTGTGGAGGTCCAGTCCAACATGATCAGCTGGCTGGCCCTGTGCTTTGTTCGTGGTCATTGAGAATGCGAGGCAGCCAGGAAACTGTCACCGCTTCATGGCAAAAGCAATTTGTTCAACTGATGGAGTAATGGTGATGCATGGGATGAAAGCCCTTTTGCCATTGTGTTCGCCACCTAGAAGCCGAATTTCCAACACATGAGGTGACATTCTTTCTCGTGAGAATTCCTCTGGTGCCATTACAAAGACCATTTGCCCAGATTTCAGAGAATCATGATTGGGCACCCTACCTTGAAAGCCAATTTGGCCACAGGCAGTCCAGATGCACGGATAGAGTTGAGATATTATCACTGTCAACTTCCTCTTCTGTGATAACTGAATCAGCACTGTGGAAAATATATTCTTCACCTTGAAACTTATGCAGCAACATGTTATTGAGCTCATCCACATCATCATGGTGTGCAGAGAGAATTGTACACTCCAGGAAGTATTTATCCTGTCTGCAGGTATGGTTGAGATCCCAGGATAGATTGTGTCTATCATAGACAGAACAGTTTTGGAGTGCCATAACTTCAGGAAATTCAATGTTTCCAGAAGCATCTATATTTCTTCCGCTTCCAACATACAGGAACTATTTTGCCAAGTCCTTTTCCTCTTGTTGTGCATTAGGCCCACCGAGACATATATTCTGTGTTAGGTGTAGTATTTCAACCTTTGGCCACATCTTCAGCAGATTGTTGAATCTGAGCAGGCTGAGGAGCATTAGGCTGACAATGTCTCTGTGGGCTGTCAAGGACATGGTTTTCACGTTCATGCCTTTGAGAGGCAATCCGAGCACGCTGGGGAGTATTTGGAGGAGTTAGGTCCCTTTGTCAATTTTTTAGTGCCAAATTTTTTATATCAGAAAAAGCTTGCATTTCAGAGACAGGCTACAGATAATGTAAATCAGGAGGGCAGAATCAACAGATACACAGACATGACAGAGGCAGAAAGGGGGCAGAGTGATGGCAAGACCTTGACAGATAGGGGTAGCCAGTTGAACTGGAAACTCAAATCAGAACTTGAGAAGACAGCAAAATATATGAGAGATGGGGCACACCTGAGGCAGTCAGAGCAAAGATGAAAGGCAGAGGGAAGCTGGGTTAGATGAAAACCTCGAGGCAGGCTCGAGGAGCACCATGATGCGGCAGGAGAAGAGGCTGCCGCTGCGCGGCGGAGAGGTCACATGACTTATCATGTGATTTAGTGGCGGTGTTTTCATGTGACTTTTGGGTGGCGGTGCCATGCTCTTTTCTTATATAGGATACATCTTTGGATACATCTCTCTTATATGCTACGCCGTTCTTCTTCTATGGCGCCACGCGGGGCGTCGATGTCTCTCATCCTCATGGCTTCTAGCTCCGTATTCCCTGCCCATGTCCGTCAAGCAAGCTCCGACCTCCCTGGCTTATCAAGCAAGGTTCCTGTCGATTCTCGAAGATGCGCCGTTGTTATATCCTTGGCTGGGAACACGAAGCTTTTGGCCTAAGCTGAGACCTTCCCTCGACCAGCTGAAGACTTGCTGTATATCAACCTTGCCGCAGACGGACATCGAGTCTTGAGGATGGGGACGCCCTGGTGCGTCAGGTTGCTCTGTTTCCGTGAATCTTGCACTGAATCCTAACTTTCCGATTTCCAGATGACGCGTCACATGCCGTGGCATCGACTTGCTTCTTTCCACTCCGCCCACCGCGCCCTCAACTTGCGCGCCGCTGCTCTCCCTGCACCATCCCGACCACGCGCACGCGCACGCGTACGCTGATGCGCCCAGCCACGTTCTCACGCCACGTCCGCCGCGCCCGCCGCCACGACCCGCCACCTCTTTCACCGCGTCCCCACCGCCGATCCGCGCGCCCCCAATCGGAACCCGCGCGGCACGCGCAACGCTGCACGCCCGCGTCTTGCTCCGCGCCTGACTAATGCGTCGCCGCTCCCCGCCCCTGCAACGGATGCACGGCATCCCCGCCCGAACGCCAAACGCGCACTCCACGCCGCGCTCCCGACATTCCACACGACGCCCGTGCCCTGCAACGCCCACGCCGCACAAAGTACGTCCCCTCGGTCCGCCCGCGCCAGGAGGAGTGGGTGTGGTTTGACGGGGTCGATTGGCGGGGGCGCCGGCGGGATGCGCGCGCGGAGGCTGACGCGGGCGCGGGCGCGGGTGGACATGGGGACGCAGAGGGCGAGTGGAGGCACCGCGGGGAGGGCGACGACTCGTCCGAGACGAGCGACACGAGCCCCGTGCTCTCGACCTCGACGCT